AATGGACAATTTCAGCCGCTCAACTCAAAAGGGTACTTGAATTCGCTCAACAAACAAAAAGGTTCCAAAATAGAGACGACCTCATCCAGTAAAACCCGTCTTATTCCTAGTCTTCTACCTTTCCTTTATTTTATCTCCGTTCCCCTTCTCCTTATACTCTCTCAGATTGAAACACCAATATAAATTCCTAGCGTATTTCCTTTAAATAGTCTATAGCCTGCATATCGCTCAGGGCGATGGGTCAGGGTAAATGAATACAACTCAACTCAACTCAACTCAACTCAACTCAATCAATCAATCAAGGTAAACCCCTCGAACCTATTCACCCGCTAGGCAATTCCAACGCCTAGGCTGAAGAGGCCTCGTTACATTATACGACATATTTAACCCGGGTGTATTAACTAATCAGGAGGTATTTGTTCCATATCGAGAAATATACACGCCCTTATCGATAGAATTATACATCCTCGCTGCTATTTACTATCATAGTATAGCCTTGATAATGCTATAATCGTCTGTTGAAGTGTACGCAGTTTATATTGCTTTTTCTGTGGCTTAGTCATTTAGCACAGGGTATAAGAGGACTCCGCCTACCGGGCCCCTAACAAGATCATGCCACTCATTGCTATCAATTGAAACCCCATTTCATTGCAACATCGTCTTTCGAAGTTTTCCGTACATTATTTAAGCTTATGATTCGGTATTGTCTTGGGTTGATGTTCAAGCGGTTTTAAAATGTGGGGAAGTAAAAATGAGAAATAATGATTCGGGGGTGACAAGGCTTTGCCGCCTGTTAGCAAATGCCGGCGAATAAGCTCATCGTCGGATAGACGACTTCACTGCGAGAATCAGCCTAAGAAGACGGGGCCCAGGATATCGGGCGCGATTTCCCTCCGAAGAGGTAAGCGGGTGTAGGTACCGGAGTACATGGCGGGACAGATAGGGCAACCCTTAATGATTTGGCTGATTGACTAGCTAAGGGCGTCGGCGAGTCCGACGTGAAACAAGGCGCATCACCCAAATCGTCGTGAAGCGAGGCGAGTGCGTCATTTCTGCATAAAGGCGGCTGGTTCACTCCCGGAAGGTCTTTCGGCGGTGCCGGTTGATCCGAGGCCGTCCCTACTCAGCGGTTTGCGCCTCGCTTGCTCCCATTTCTCTCCTTTCATGCCCTTCTCGCTAGCTGCGCCCTAGTATCCTCTCCTAAGCTTTTACAGTTCCTCTACCTCTATATTTTCAGCATTTACTAGTGTCTTAGTTTACTTTTGCTTTTCTACGTCTATTCCGAGCTATTAGTGTATTCATTGATAAATCTATTGTCTGAGTGGGCGGGGTCCTGATTCGTTTCGAAGTCGTTAATTACAGGCGTTACGTTCAGCTTAAGCTAGAGACCTTTCCGTCGCTTCCGCTAGTCTTTCGCCTCTAGCCGCTTCTACTCCTATCGCCGTAAAGCTTCTACCCGGTTGTGCTTCTCGGCTGCGCACATGCTACTTGGCCGCCGTATCCTCTCTGAAAAACCACTTCGTACTCTATCTTGCCGGACATTACTTCCCTTTCGCCTTAACATTCTCTTCCTAACTGCACAATATTCTCTGTTTTCGCTCTAAACGCAGAAGCCCCGCAACTTATAGCCCTAGATAGTTGAAACACCTTTCAGTGACTTTTAGGGCTACCTACATTAAGCTAGGCCTAGTTTAGTGTGTATCTCGTCAACTTATTACCAAGTGGCTTATACTGCCAAGGCTAGGCAGTCATCCGCTGGCTTTACTGGCAGGCCCTCAACCGCAAAAACTAACCACGACCATTGTGTACTTATACGTGTCAGCACACACCACCCTACCTGTTACCCAGCTTGCGAGGGGGATTAGACGGCACTAGGCCTTCTTCGAATGAGGCTGCAGCATATAAAGGTGCGTAGCTTAGACACGGGCAAAATTGTCACTCAGTATTGAATGCAAGGATACCTGTTGAGGCACCTAGCTGGGTTTCTCCCATGTACACAACACAGACAGTGCTACCGCCTATCTTTGATTGTGTCGCCCATTGCTGCCTAGCCAATGGCAAGGTAAGGTTGTGGTACGGGGTTACATACGGCGTAGAAATCTAAAGAAAAAAATGAATCGACGGGTATAAATATTCAGCCTGCTGTGTGCAAGTTCTAATATCGCTTTCAACGAGTTTCTCTTTTAATCGTTTAACCGCTACTAGCGCAAACGCTTCACCTCAACTAAAAATACAAAGCACGTTCAGATTATTCAGATGCTGCTCGACAAGGACGCCGACGTCAACGCGCAGGGCGGCAAGTACGGCAATGCTCTCCAGATTGCTTCTTCTGAGGGCTACGAGAAGATCGTTGAGATGCTGCTCGACAAGGGCGCCGACGTCAACGCGCAGGGCGGCGAGTACGGCAATGCTCTCCAGACTGCTTCTTCTATTGGCCACGAGAAGATCGTTCAGATGCTGCTCGACAAGGACGCCGACGTCAACGCGCAGGGCGGCGAGTACGGCAATGCTCTCCAGGCTGCTTCTTCCGAGGGCCACGAGAAGATTATTCAGATTCTACTCGACAAGGGCGCCGACGTCAACGCGCAGAGCGGGCGGTACGGCAATGCTCTCCAGGCTGCTTTTTCCCAGGGCCACGAGACGATCGTTGAGATACTATTAGACAAGGGTGCCGACGTCAACGCGCAGGGCGGCTACTACGGCAATGCTCTCCAGGCTGCTTCTTTCGCGGGCCACGAGAAGATCGTTGAGATACTACTCGACAAGGGTGCCGACGTCAACGCGCAGGGTGGCAAGTACGGTAATGCTCTCTACGCTGCCTCTTCTCAGGGACACGAGAAGATCGTTCAGATGCTGCTCGACAAGGACGCCGACGTCAACGCCCAGGGTGGCCAGTACGGTAATACTCTCTAGGCTGCTCCTTCTAAGGGCCACGAGAAGATTATTCAGATACTACTCGACATGGGTACCAACGTTAACGCGCAGGGCGGCGAGTACGGCAAGACTCTTCTGGCTACTTCTTATAGCGGCTATCTAGAAATCGTTAAGCTCCTTCTTTAATTTAGCCCCTATTAGCAACCAAATTTAATGGTTCCGGTCGTCGTTTTTTGGGTCTGAGAGATCTACTTATTATTTAAGTCGTTAAGCTTGTGCTTAGCTAGGTTGTTGATGACGAGGGACTTAGCTATTAGAAAACGCAGCTTCGAGGGCATCGTCACAGTAATCGCAATGAAAAAATCGGCCTGTTCTTGCTTAAAATTGGCGCCCTATATAAAGATTGAGGTGGTCCTTACGGCAACTATCAACGTTGTAGTCTTAAAAAGTAACTCTAAATGTTTCTGGCTAATAGCCTCGAAGAACCTTGTTTAGCGGATCGTATAGATAGAACTGCTCTCCATTTCGCCGCGCTTACTGGTTAATAAGAGATTTTAACTGGCGGCCTAGCCAGCACTTTAATAATACAGCTAAAATAAAGGTAGATACACGCCCCTCGGTTATGCTACTTCTAGTTCACCGGCTGAGATTCCAGAGAAAGATTTACGACTCTCTCCCAGATACTAATCCAGCCGATGCTTGGTCACCTCTTTAGTGCGCTTGTAGAAGTAGGAACTCAAAGTCGGTCAAGCTTACAGGTCATGGGATAAAGCCCAGCATTGTCGCCATTTTCAACCTATAGGAGTATGGGCACCATATGAAATAGCGGTCTTCCACCAAAACCCTGATATCTTCTCCCCTGGTTATGATTCTCATGAGTGTCTTATGATATATCAAGGGCTCTAAAGCGGCCGAATCTTTATCAGAAAGAATGGACTCAGCTCATGTCGAACACTATAAAAGGGCCAGCCCTCATTGCGATTTTTCGTAAGGACTTATATAGTGGAGTACGTGATTGACTACTGAGACGGTTCGTCTAACAGCTCAACTATGGACGTTCTTCTAAGGGCATCCGCCATGGCGACTTCTAGTATAATATATAGAAGAGGGTGGCGATACTGTGTTCAGCAGCAGTGTGGTACCCTTGGTAGGCCAGGAGATGCCAACTCGTGCAGGACGTGGCATACACACGCGCCGCTACGATGACTAAATAGGCAGCAAGGCAGCAGGGTAGTAGGGTAGCTGCGCAGCGGGAAATACACAGGAGCGAGTAGGCGGAGGCGGGCGCGCGCGCGCGTAGAAGCGACGTTTATAACATGTAACACTAGATTAGCTGTGGGCCTGCCACGCTGTAACTGCTAGATTAGAGATATAGAATTTTTTGTTGATTTTTGGTGTAAAATTGGGGGTGCTAGTTCTTATTCCATGCCCTTGCGTCTTCGCGCGGATTCGCGGGAACGAGCGGCGGGCCAAGGTTCCTCGCGCTGACGCAAAGGCAGCTTTCTGCTGGGCTCTTACCCAATTGGCAGGCGGTGGAGGGGGGTGGTCAAATTATCCGGGCCATATAAGTGGCCTCACACCACCATTTCATGAGCGAATGCGGGGCACGGGAATCTCTCCTAATGAGGTACTTGCTACCTTGAACTGGCGTTTACCATGTAGCTAGTATTAAGCCCCCATGCGGACCGTTCCGACGTGCCCGCTCAGGACAACACAGATATTGAGATACCTAGGCCCCGATACATGCACGTACACTCCCATTCTATAGCCGGTGATGAGCGTATATTTGTTTTTCTATGTTATACAGAGCTGTCGGCTACTGAAAACAGCAGGCGCTAGAAAACTCGACCTGTTACACGACGGTCAGGCCTTAGTCCGAACTTATGCCATAGTACACGCTAGCCATCAGCTACAGGAAGGGAGTGTAAAAGGTATGTCTTAAACTTAGACCAGTAATCATTTCAAATGTTAGTGCGCTTCGCATTTCCGATAAGGCACACTGTTCGACTAATAACTTAAATCTAAATCGGTTAGCCTAAACGGGAAAGTCCAGAAAGACCTACTTCCGTTATCCCCCGGCGGCACACCCAATCCCAAGGCCGTCGTTGGAAAGGTGGATGGTGAGCTGAACTACGGCGAGGTTCCCGGTGCTGTCACATATGAAAGTCACCAGGTTGACGCCGTCCCTGATGCCATTCACAAAGCTCTGGAATCGCCTTAGGCTAATCCGGCTGGATACCGTCCATTCCCAATCAAGATGATAAAGTGAGTGTGCGGAGGAGGGAAAGACAAACAGTTCATTCATTGCACGGGAATCTAAGATCGAATGATCATCAACCGAGTAACTGCTAGACTAGGTTGCACGGGTTTCTTTGTCGGTGGTGCGAGGCATGCGAGTTAATCCTTACAAGGACGTCTCCCGATGCGAGCAAGCTACGGCTCTGCTTTAGGCGCTACCCACGCACGGATGTTTCTCGACCAGGTAGCTCAAGAGTGCTTTGCTGCGGAGCTCTCTAGGTCTGGGCTCTGCCTAGATCCTTCCGAGTGCCGAGAGCGGGTGGAGCATTGAGGGGTTTCTGGCGCTCGAGTACGCTTCTACTTTATGCATGTTATATCGGAAATAAGCTGCAGGATACACAGCATAATTATTGACGGCTCCATCGAACTGGGTCTGGCCTGCAGGTTATGCATATCAATTGCCCGAGGTCGAGCCCTAATGCCAAAATGGCGCTTTTACACCAGGATGCTTGTATCCAGCGTTTTAATTGGCAAGAAAACGTTATGCTGTGACCACCTCAGCGGTGCAACCTCTATGCAAGCATACTTTAGACTGCAACCCTAGCTATGAGAGTGCGATTAGCGTAGTGATTCCGAGAAATTAGCTAGAGTTGACGTAAGTATTTAAAAAAAAAAAAAAAGAGAGATCAATATTTATAGACGTTAGGTTAATGGCATAGTACCCACCCAGATCTTACAGCCTACTTGGTTTACACCGCGATTGTTCACTATATGGCTTCGGACAGCTTGTCAGAAGTTCTCGGAGCTATCCAAGTTCAAGTTTTTGAAGCCGGCCAAAACCAGCCTTTCCTTAGGTTACCAAACAATCGTCTCAATAAAGAATTGGAAGTATGAAGTCCTGCTCCACAACATTTATCTTAACTTACCTGGTATTATAGAGAGGTAGCGCGTCTCTACGCTTACTGTTAGTTCCTAATATTACGAAGGAGGACATACTCTAAAATTACGTAGGATAGGAAAGCTCCCAACAAAGAAGGACAGGTCAAGTGCTCCGATTGGCTTAGGCCTTGAGGCGCTTCCTCCAAGCTTTCTTCGCATGAGCGGTAGAGACTCCAATGGCGGCTTTGGACAATTGACCACTTCAAGTGAAGGTGACGGAAGTACCAAAATACCTATTCATAGTAAGTTTCCTTCAGATCAGTTGTATACCGGTAACTAAGCCGTGCAGAGTCTTGGTCCTGCTTCAAAATAAAACAGGTTACTGGAAGCCCTGTGCCATGTCTACAAATGAAATCCGCAGTAGCTTCGCGAAGGGTTTTCCCGTCGCGGCTATATCCAACGATGACCTATACGTGGCTGCAGATCAATCTTTTCGTTTTGTGGGACTGGCAGCAAGGTGTCACTCTTGTCCTCTACCTTGGAGATTCGACACAGCTCAGCAACAAACTCAAGGGTTTTGCGACCAACAACCGCCATGCGGACCCGTATGCTTGGCATGAGCTTCTGGCAACTGAGGTTGAGGGGCTTTATAATGAGTCAGTATGGCAACTGCGGGACTTGACAAGGAGCATTGAGAAAAGAAGAGACAGGATCCAAGACCAGGTCAGTCACGGGGAATTTGGCACTTCAACCTACTTTTAACCATCAGCTTACCTCCAGCACAGATCACGGGCAATACAGACTTTTTTCACTTTCACGAAGTCGGTCGCCACATTATCCATTTGAATGAGGCGCTGGATGTTGCCGTACGAACTTTGGAGAAAACACAACGTTCTCAACGCCTTCTAAAGGAATATCTTCATCGGTCGTTGCAAACTCTAGAGGAGATCGAACCAATGTTTGAAGAAACCAAGCAAGGGTTAGAGAATCTCGATTCTGATTTCAAGGCTCTCCTCACGCGATCAAAGACTTTAGATGATCGCCTCAAGAATGAGATCAATTTGGTAACCACCCTAGGTCATTCATCATGGCTAAACAAAACATCTTACACCTAGTACAGGCATTCAACATTGTATCACAAGCAGACAACTCTGTTATGAAGACTATTGCATTAGTCACGTTAGTCTTCATCCCCGGGACATTCCTTTCGGTAAGTATTCAGTCTTCGTATCCTAGCTTACCGGCAACACTTGCGTCATAGACATTAGAGTCAATCCATATCCGTTTTAAAAGCAGAATTTCTACTAGAAGTTACTACAAGCCCGCATCAATCGGAATCATTGTACTGATCCAATCCTAGTCACTCTTCGGTATGAACTTCTTTTCTTATTCACCGCCTAGCGATAGCAGCAGCGGCTCGACTAGCATTAGTACGGCATCGAACTTTTGGATATACTGGGCTATCACCTTACCACTTACACTGTTCCTTCTGTGTGCTTGGTATTGGAGATCTGTACCGTACTTCTTTCCGTGCTTAAGGGAACGGCCCAAAGGATCCATCTTGTGCTAATCAGACAAAATCTCCTATGGATATTTGATTAGCATTAGTACCATCTTTCAATGAACTGGCGGCATTTTCATTACTGGTGACCGTTCATATATAATTAGATTTTAAATTATCACGGTCTGGTCTTAATTATGAAATATTTAAAGTGTTTCAACATCTTATAAGGGATATCATTATGTCGAACAGTGCGGGGAAGCTGGAAACTGCTATCCCTTGAATTGAGTGAAACTATGTGCTTAAATACATGTTTTCTCTTGGTAGAAAGGTGGTTATCATTCCACTAAAAGGAGAGAATGGTGTGACGTTGAAAAATCAAAGTGATGATAGGGTTGGTGATAATCGAGACAATATGATTATGTGAAGCTGGGCGCGAGGAATTGGACGCCGCTTGATTCTTAAAGAGTGTCTAGCAGCGAGCTTTATATATATGGAGTAGAGCAGTCAGGTGCTCGCTTGTAGAAAGTAGCAGGGGATAACAGGGTGTTGAAACAAAGAAAAAGCAACATAAATATAGAGAGTAATGCATGAAGAAACATGGCCTGATAGTCTAACAAGTATATTATTAGAGCGGTCCTGGCTGACACATTGCTTTGTAGTCAAAGAGACGATCCTTAGAATTAATCAATTTTTAACGAATCCACGAGATTATAAGGCACAATATTCATTCGAATGAAACACTTGGAGTCGCCTTAGATACTATTAACAGTATTCAGCAAGAATACGAGCTATTCAGAAAAAATTCTGCTAGCTCAATGGAATAGGAAGTGGAACTTTCGTTCCGCTATACGCGGCTGGAACTTTTACGACTTCGAAGTACTACTAAAGTTAGCTTCCTACGCTTTCGATTGTTAGGTAATTATATCCACAACGAAATTAACCTCGTTAGTTCTAGGATAGCTATTACCTTCAGCGTAAGGTCTAATAAGAATCGGTAGGCATACAACCTCGTTAACCAGAGATAGCTTCTTGATGAAGACAATGACTATAATGATATTAATATACCTTCCTGGGCCATATATTGCGGTACGCAAGCTGGTTTTATTAGAAATAACTTTCTATAAATTACTAAATAGGTTTAATAACCTATTTTTGGCATAAACTTCTTCGACTTCTTATCCTTAACCGAGTTCATTCTTTCAGATAAGTTCTAGCTTTACTGAGTGCTTGTAGCGATTATGATACTATTTACCATTGGCACGTAGATGCTATGGCAAAGCCAACGTGAGTATACGTAAAAAGCTTCTACTTATGTAGAAATGCTAAATAGCTAACTGTTCCTTGTCTCGAAAAGTTTTGTATAAAGTAGTATAAGTTAGCGCTCCGTGTCTAGAGTGAAAACAGATTGTACTGTAATTGGGAAGAGGGTATTTAGGCGGAAGGGAAATTATGTACGGTAGGGTAGAGTACAAAGTACTCTTCCTTGTTTTTACTTTTATTTATTTACTTACTAATTTTTCACTCTCCTCCACTCTTAATAATACTATTCTGTAATATAAACAAGTCTACTAAATCTTTTTACAGCCGCTGTTGTACTAGCGCTAGATGAGGTTGCAGTATCCGTGGTTACGCAGCGTATAAGCGAGGCTCTGATTGTTATCCCGACACTTAGGTGGTACGCAGACTAGCGGGGTGCGGACGAAGCCTAAAAGGTTAAGAAGCCCGAATCTGCCTCGCGCCCTAACCATTGAAAATGAAAGTGCGGGGACCCGTGGCATTACATAGCAAGGAAATCCCCGTAACTTGTAGCCCTAGATAGTTGAAACACCTTTCAGTGTCTTTCGGGGCTACCTACATTAAGCTAAACTTAGTTTGGTGTGTGTCTCGCCAACTTATTACCGAGTGGCTTATATTGCCAAGGCTAAGAAGTCGTCCGCTAGCTCCACTAGCCGGTCCCAGCCGTAAAGGCTAACAACGACTATTATGCGCTGATGCATGTCAGCACACATAAATTTACAGGCTAACCAGCTTGCGATAGGGACTAGTCGGCACTAGGTTTTCCCAAGATCAGGCGGCGTACTGTTAAGGCTAGGATTATAAACTATGGCAAAATCAGCGCTCAGTAATAGATAAGGCGAGAAGGTAGTTAGTAGGTAGCTTTTTCGGAAGTCACATACCTTCGTAGATATCATTAAGAGGCTAAGAGGTTATGACGTACATCCAATAATCACACTATAATAAATTAGGCAATGGCTGCATTAACATTTCTTCTTACTCACTGTGGCTACTCTCGCTTGCATGTGCCGCGACATATACGTAAAGCAAAATGGATCCTCATTCTCGTGTAAGCGACGCCGCATACGTAGACAGCAATTTGCCTTGTCTTGTCGATCTCAAGGCGGAGATTTGCCTTCATGTAAGTACGTTACACTGGCTGGACATGTCCCGGTCTATAATAAGTAAACAGGGAGCCCTTTCTATATATTATCACGCAACCCCCTTGATTCTCAACGATTCCATCCGCTGTGCGCCACCCTAATTGATACTTAAGGTCTTAGTTCTAATCGTTAACAGCCTCCTTGATCAACTTAGCACTGCCCCACTTTATACTCAGTGAGTAAAAATCTACGATGACCTATCATTACAATTACTTACTTGACTACAAATTCCAGTCCAAGTAAATTGACATTTTTCAAATGTCAAACCCTAAGAATTATACCGTCGGCTGGATCTGTGCTATACAGACCGAGTACACCGCAGCACGGCAGTTCCTTGACGAAAATCATGAGCATCCGGAACATGTATCCCCCAATGACAACAATGAATACACCCTAGGCCGTATAGGCAGCCATAACGTCGTGGTTGCTGTTCTTCCAGATGGCGAGTACGGCACGAGCTCGGCAGCAAGTGTTGCGAGGGATATGCTTCACACGTTCCCGAACATCAGAATTGGTCTGATGGTTGGCATTGGTGGGGGTGCTCCAACTGCAAAAAGGGATATCCGCCTTGGCGACATCGTGGTTAGCTCCCCCAGCAACGGTAAAGGGGGTGTATATCAATACGACTACGGGAAGACTATTCGATCTCAGGAATTTCAACCGACCGGAATGCTTAACCAACCACCATCCCTACTGCGTGGCGCAGTGAACGGCCTCAAAGCTCACTATGAAGAAAACGGAAATGGGCTTTCAGAAGCTGTGGAAGCCGCACTCAAGAAGAAGCCAAGGCTTAGGAAGAAATACCAACGGCCTAACCTACAAGATGATCGACTCTACAAAACCGAGTTTGTCCACGCTTCAGGAAGCGAAGAGAGTTGCGCAGACGTATGCGGTAACGACGATTCCAGCCTGGTACGGCGACACGAGCGAACAGAAGATGAAGACAATACAGCTATACACTATGGCTTGATTGCCTCTGCCAACAGTTTGATGAAAGATGCGGTCACACGTGACAAGCTTGCGGGAAAACAAGGAGTGCTATGTTTCGAGATGGAAGCTGCTGGTCTAATGAACCACTTCCCATGTCTGGTCATCCGTGGTATCTGCGATTACTCCGATTCACACAAGAACAAGGTGTGGCAGGGCTATGCGGCTATGACAGCGGCGGCGTATGCCAAAGATATCCTTCGGCGAATTCGACCAAACCGGATTGAAGCTGAGCAAAAGATTAGTGAAATCCTCAGTAACTGTTTGTCTACTCCACCACCTTATTTATAGAGTACGAACCTTTTTTTAATAGACTCGTAGTTGGACAAACCCTTGAAAAAGTGCAAGCCACCGCCAAATCAACAGATACCGCTGTCAAAGATATGGGTCTAGAACGCAGAAGAGACCAACTCTACGACTGGCTATGTCCTCCCGATCCTTCCACAAACTACAACAAAGCATTGGAACAACGCTACGAAGGCTCAGGCAAGTGGTTTGTTCAAGGCGAAGCATACAGAGAATGGAAGACACAACCAAATTCCTTTCTTTGGCTCTATGGTATCCCAGGGTGTGGCAAGACAATTTTGAGCTCTACTATCATCGAAGACCTTTCAAAAGCTCTCACTGAGTCTCAGCCAATGTTGTACTTCTATTACTCCTTCACCGACACCAGGAAGCAGTCCACAGAGAATACAGTCCGGTCGCTTATCTGTCAACTGTACCAGAAGAGGAAGGACGTGCAAAGGGTCGTTGACCTACTTTTTTCTTCTCATGAGAACGGACGCAAGCAGCCAGGCTTAGAGTCACTCTATTCAACCTTCCAGAACATGATTCAGCAAGCCAATGAAGTTTGGATCATTCTCGACGCACTCGACGAATGCCAGACAAGAGAAGACACTCAGGCCGAAGGGTTACTTTCATGGTTGAGATCTCTTGTAGCATCAAAGGTAGCAAACGTCCACCTTCTGGTTACAAGCCGTCCAGAGCAAGATATCGAATCGGCTCTAGAGACATGGACTCAACCTGAAAACCGTGTTCCCATACAGAGCGATCTGATTATGGACGATATACGTGCATATATCCACGCACGGGTGAGGACGTATGAGGGCTTAAGCAGGTGGCAATCATCTCCTGACGTCCAGAATGAGGTTGAGACTGCTCTCATAGAGAATGCGGACGGAATGTAGGTTCTTAAGCGCCTTGGCCATGACTTAGGCTTACTAAGATGATAAAGGTTTCGATGGGTTACATGTCAACTCGAGAGCCTTGAGAAATGTCTCGAATATCCTACTCTACAAAGAGCACTGGGATCTTTACCGAAGACATTGGACGAGACCTATGCTCGAATTCTATCTAGCATCCCCTCCGAGTATGAGCACCACACTCGCCGGATCTTGCAGTTCCTAACTTTCTCCGAACGGCCTCTACGGATTGAGGAAGCTGTTGATGCCATTGCAGTAAATATTGAAGGTGGCAAAGGTTTCGACCCGAAAAACCGAATGCCAAGACCAAGGGAGATCTCGCGATACTGCTCTACTTTAGTCGTGGTCGTGGCCAGGCAGAGCCCTGAGGATGGAGATGCTATAACTGAGCTGCAGCTCGCGCACTTCTCAGTAAAAGAATATTTGACCTCAAAGAGGTTAGACCAAAGTGTGGCCAAAGATCTCGAGGAGACTACCGCAAGAGCCTCTATCGCAAAGGTCTGCCTTACGTACTTGCTACAGCTTAACCAAAGTTTGCCAATACGAGAAATCCAAAGGTTGTTTGGACTAGCACAATTTTCAGCAAGATATTGGATGGAGCATGCTGCGGTTACCGAAAGATATTGCCTAGAGCTACAGAAGCTCGCATTCAACTTTTTCTCGTCCCAGGCTCCCTTCTCATATGGGTATCGGCTGTATAACCCGGACACACCATGGCGAAAGGAACCGGAAGACGACAAGTCTCACCTAGCAACCGCTCTATACTACGCATCCCTTAGTGGTCTAGTTTGCTCGGTAAAGAATTTACTAGACAAGGGTGCCGACGCCAACGCGCAGGGCGGGGAGTACGATAATGCTCTCCAGGCTGCTTCT